GTATCATTGGTGTTACAGTTATCCAAAGTAATTGAGGACAGCTTCCTATCAAGATTCCAACCAAGCAAACACTTGAACAACCTCTCTCCCAACCTCTTACTAGTATGAGGGGCAGGGACATAGACAAAGCTCAACATCATGTTTTTAAGTTTCCAAGAGTTGTCAATAAAATGCCCAGTAACCGCCATATACCCCATCTTTTGGTTAGTTGCAGTCCACATATAAGTTGTGACTGCAACACTACCAATATTACCATTTAAAACATTCTGAAGATTTGCCATTTCAGCCCCATATAAAGCAAATATGTCCCTCTTCACTGTATTTCTACAAGGGACAGTGAACTGGGGTTGCAAAGAACAACATAAACGTTTAAACCCCAAGTGTTCAACAGTGTTCAGGGGATACTCATGCACCATAATCATAGAGCACAATTCCTTCCTAGAACTCTCTGCCTACCATCATGTATCTTTCTTTGGGTGCAAGTTTTGTAATGGTTCCTCAGGTGGGAGGTTCCATTACTATTATCACCACCTAAACGTTTTCGACAGTATTTACACTTGGCTTTAATCTCCCCATTAAACTTCACCCTCACAAAATGTGGCCAGACATCATAAGTCAATTTACGATCTTCATCCAGAATTATTTCAACATTTTCATTTCCATTATTCAACGCATTATTCCCAGAACCATTAGCAGTAGCATTACCATTACCATTACCGTTTTGATTAGAAGGCACAATAGGATCATTCGCATTCAAAGCACAATTTTCAGTAGCACATCCATCTACATAAACAATTAAATAATTGCATGCAATCAATCAACCATAACTACCCAAGCAAATCACACAACACACAATACAAATTACAATCGAGAGTTGAATTGGAGTAAGGTTATGCCTAACCTGTAATCTGGAGAGGGAGACTCTGTTCACCAGACTGTAGACGGTGAACACTGAGCTGATGCCTAATGCTAACCTGAAGAACTCCCAAACAAAGCCAAAACAAACAAAATAAAATTAGCATGCATCGATTGATAAAGACCTAGCTCATGAATCTGGACAAATGAAGGTATAAGTTTGTGCATACCTCGACTGTGCTCTGAGAAGAGTGCATGTAATGGGTTTAAGGAAAAAGTTAGGCTGACCAGTGACCTGAAATTAATCGAGGGGTTACTATATATACGAGAAGAAGGAAGAAGGCAATAAATTGCAACAGAATACGAAAGGAAAAGGGAGAAAGAACTTATCTCGCTCGATGTGTGATATCACTCCGATTTCCCCCAATAGTTTCAAATCGAAGATTGCAGCGGGCAATTTAGGGTTCTGCATGCTGTTTTCCGACGAAATCGCCGGCAAAACTAGCATCCAATTGGCCAAATTGAGAGATAATGATTGCCTACTGGCAATCATAATTGTGTAAACAACCTGGATTGGGAGGAAATCGTGGGGCACAACGAGATTTTTGAGCGGATTAGATGTTTGGGAGATTCGATGGAGAGAAAGTAGCTAGGGTTTGGGGAGGTTCTCGAAGAGGAAGAGGAGAGGAATGGGAGTAGTCGTTGGGGAGGGAGAGTGGAAAATGAAGATTAGGGTTGGCAGTCTGCTCTGTTTGGTTTATATACGATGTCTAAAATGACGTTGTTTTATGATACGGGGCGAATACCACTTATATCATCGCCACCCATCGCCCGCAACTCACGGGTTTCGGGTAAACCCAAATCCGCCAAAAGCCCACAACAGACAGTCTTTTAGGTCAAAATCCAGATGGGTTTCAGGTGGATACCCGACGGGTTGGTCAGGGTTGCCAACCCTATTTGGAATTTCTATTGGAGTCCATGGCAGGTCACAGTGGTGGTTCAGGGGTACCCAGTGGTCAGTCCAGACCACCACGGAAGAGTATAAATGACCCAGAATAATTGGGCTGAGAGATACAATCAATGTGATAAACGGAGCCCAACTCAGTCGTAGTGGCGGCCGAAATCTTTGTACACGGCTGGTCCAGGTTAAACCACCATCACCTGATTCAAACAAGTACAAAAGAGAGAATGATTAAGAGGGAGGAAAACTTTTAACCACTCCTTCATGAAAAAGCTATGAGAAAGGCGAGACAAAGGAGGAAACTCGTTCTCAACCTCATAATAAGACTATTGGAGCTAGGAACGATGTTGATCTCAAAGGGATTTGATATGGTTTATTCTTTCCTTCTCGTATTTGTGCTCTCCTTCGTAGGGGTGGACAACGGGAAATGGGTATTTGGGTATACCAGTATCCGTCTTGCTTTTTGAGGGTTACGGGTACCCAAATACTCGTAATTATTTTTACGGGATGCGATTTAGGATCAAATATTGCTACTTCGGGTACCCGTGAATTATCCGTTAATACCCGTTTGTGTATTAAGGGTACCCGTTATAACCGTTAATACAATGCACACTAATAATGGTGTATTAAGTGGAGTTAAGAATTGCAATCAGTCGCGGCTACTAATTAGTAGTTAAAATAAATTACTATATATCACACCAGATTTACATCCTTTAAAAAATAGATTTGTATATATTATATCTAAACCCTACTGCAACCTCATTCCGAGCAGCCTCTCTCCCCCCGCACTGCTGCTACCGGGCACCCTTCCCCTTCGTCCACCCTCGCCACCGGTGCCCTCCTCCATCCCTCGCACGCCTCCACTCTCTCTCTCTCTCTCTCTCTCTCTCTCTCTCTCTCTCTCTCTCATGCCCTCGCACGGCCTATCTCACCCAGCGTAAGCCGTAATCAGCAGCGTGGCGTAATGAATGTGGATCTGGTCCTTGGTGGCGAGACTGGAACAGACCAGGAAGGCCTGGACATTCTTGCGCTGGTCGCCCTAGCGCTAAATAATCCTCCCCAGCTCCTTGTCATTCACTACTTTTTCGTTGCAACAGAAGTCCTTCACTTCCAAGAATGGTAGTGTTTGCATTGGTAGAGGAATTGCTTTGGTAGCTACCTTGCATTTTATTTTGGTACTGTTTGCATTATGCTTTGGTAGTGTTAGCATTATGCTTTAGTGGTTACCTGCATTTTCTTTGGTAGTGTGTGCATTACGCTTTGGTAGTTACCTGCATTTGTGTTGGTTAGATGGAGCATTATGTTTTAGTAGTTATCTGCATTTGGTTTGGTAGTGTTTGCATTATGCTTTGGTAGTTCTCTGTATTTATTTTGGTAGTGTTTGTATTGATTTATTTATGCAATGATATTGTTTTGATTCCACAGTAGTAGCGGTGTTGGTTTTTTGGTATTTGTTTGACTTTTGTAATGGTATAGATTGTTTATATTGGTAGTTTCGTGTAATAGTATAGATTTATTTCTGCAATGATATTGATGTTTTTCAAAATGGTAGTGGTTGTCTAATGGATTGGTAGTGATTTCGTGTTTTTTATTTTGCAGAAAGATTGAGATAAATATGGAAAGAAGATCTGGCTGGAGATTACGGAAGTGAAAGAAAGAGAAAGAATTGTAATTAGTAGATTTTTGTAACTACCTAAAATGCAATTTATTAAATTAATTAATTAATATAATTTATTATTCTATACCCAATTTACCCTTAGTAACCACGGTGTTACTACTTTGTAGTAATCACCATAATCGCTCCCGTTTTTCTTATTGTCTCCATCAACGTACATATTATGCTATTAGTGGCGAGATAGTATTCCTACCCTTGTGAGTTTGGTTTTTGACCCTCCTATTAATTATAGATTTTTAACTTATTATTTTGTGTTGCATTTAATAATCTTTTGGAATTAAAATTTCATATTAATTACATTCCTTTTTTTCTCAAAAGTAAACCTACATTAGTTACATTTCTCACTCCTCCCTCTCCCTGGCGTCGCAATCCATATGGAACACTGGTTTCCTTCCTAGCAACTCCTCATGCCGCGTCTCTCCAACTCCTCCTATACTATCTCTCCTCTCCCCGCCGCCGGTGGTCAGTTTACTTCCAGAGTTCATGTGATAACATTATCAGTGCACTGGTAGTTGTATCAGTGCAATGGTAGCTGTATCAGTAACTGGTAACGTTATCAGTGCAATGGTAGTTGTATCATAGCAATGGTACCAGTGTACATGTAAAGCTATAAGTGCAATGATAGTTGTATTAGTGCAATGATACTTTTTAATGTAGTGATACTTTTTTTTAGGGGGTCAGAGAGAGTTTGTCGGAGAAAATCTAGTCAGAAGGAGTCTGCCTGTGAGAGTATAATTCGAAAGAGTCTACCTGGAGAAGGAAACAAAGTTGATGGAAAAGGAAAGCGTGAGAAATAGGGAGAGTGAAATGTAATTAATGTAGGTTGAATTTTTGAAAAAATGAATGTAATTAATATGAGTTTTGATTGTCCAAGAGTAATAAATAAATAACAGATTTAACACCCAAAATAACTTTAAAAAAGAGGGTAGTCATTTTTCCAACCTTTAGAGGGTGATCAAGCAAACCTCCCCCTACGGTATTACTGTAACACCTAATGTAGCACGCTGGAAAATCATTTATGTCTTTTAATCGGTTTCCTATTCTCGTGACCACAAGATTACAAGATGGAGTAGGTAGATAGATAAGCGAAATGAACGTTCGGTAGGATTGCAGATGACTTAAGGTGAGTTGAGTTTGACAATATAAGTATACAAATGACACAAGAAATTATGTGGTTCTCTAACATCATGTATGCTATATAGGTCCACGGGTAGAGAGGAGAACAAATTTTACTATTTCAAGGCGAGTACAAGTTATAAAACATAGAGGAGAGTTAAAAGGTTTAAATCAGTGCTGTCAAAGCCGAACCGAGCCGGCCGGTCGAACCGCCAAAGTCGCCACCCGACCGTAAAACCGGCTCGGATCAGCTATTTAACCGCCACGGTTTTATACAGCGGCCGGCGAGCAGCCGAAGCGGTTAACCGCTCGAGCCGGTCGCGCGGTTTGGCCGTTTGGTTTACCCTAAAAAAAAAATAGAAAAGGAATCGTGGAATTGGGCAGCCAAACAAAACCATAACTTTCCTTTTATTTCTCCATCTTCGACCTAGAAGTAGAACAGACGACAGAGGGAGAGTGGCGCCACCCTGCCGCCGTCAACCATCGCCCCAGGCCCCCAGCGCTTCCGTCCCATCGCCGCAAGCAGCTCGCCGCCGCAAGCAGCGCGCCATCGCCAGTCGCCATCGTCGCTTCTGCTCCCCGCTCCCGGCGCAAGCAGCGCCGTCGCCAGTCGTCATCGTCGCTTCTGCTCCCCGCCATCGTCGCAAGCAGCCCCCTGCAGCCCTGCTCCTGCCGCAACATCTCCCCCAACCACTGCCCTGCTCCAGCCATCTCACCTCCACAGTCCGCAACATCTCCCACCAGCCGGCTAACCTCCTGCTCGAGGTAAGTTAATTTTGTTAAACCTAATTGATGCAAATTTCTGGTTGATTGTAATGTTATTTTGCATCATTTTGATTTCAATGTTAATTTGCATTTGTTTACTTGATTGAGTTATTTAGAAGTTTCAGAATGGTAGTGTTAGATTTTTCAGTACTGATGTTCTAGAATGGTTTAAGAAAGTAATTTACTTGTGGTTTACCATGATTAAGAAGTGTCTACTATTACAAATGACTGTTTATTAGGTACCGGTTCTCAAACGGTTTTTAAACGGTCTAATGTCGGCTGACTACTAATGACCAAGCCGTTCACGTTACTGGGTCATACTCCGGCGCGGCTTTGACAACATTGGTTTAAATACAATCATTCTCTTAACTTTAAATGATTGACCGAGGATACTTTGCCCCTTTGGAATAGGACCGAGTCACCTTAGTACATCCCTAGCTTAGTTATACTTGGCTTTGTTAGGATTGAATAATGAGTGTGCTTTGACTTTAGAACATTAATTATATTATTAATATATTAAAGTCTAGGTTTGAGTTACTATTCATTAGTAGCTCTCAAATATTGCTACTTCGGGTACCCGCGAATTATCCGTTAATACCCGTTTGTGTATTACGGGTACCGTTATACCCGTTAATACAATGCACACTAAAAATGGTGTATTAAGTGGAGTTAAGAACTGCAATCAGTCGCTGCTGCTAATTAGTAGTTAAAATAAATTACTATATATATATATATATATATAAAAAATTTAACTGTATGGCCTCCCACTGTTAGTCACTGCTACCAGTTGGTAGTTAAAATATAATGGAATATATAACTGCTGGAAACGATATAAATCATAAATGAGGAGAAAATTGGGTAATTCTTATGGGTAGTATGGGTACTCGTTATCCGTCCCATATGAATATTGGGTACCCGTTAATCCACACGGGTTTGGGACATGGGATGGAGATTGCTCTCTAAATGGAACAGGGTACCCTTTCAAACGGAACGGGTATCCCGTCCTGTCCCGTTGCCCACCCCTACTCCTTTGTATTGATGTAGAACTAAGGTTTCGTTGGCTTTCCGAGATTGTTTGGTTGTGATTGTTATAATATTTGTATTTTTTACAATTCATCGTTTTTTTTTGTTTTTTATGCACAGACAATACATGTATTTCAATTACAAAGTACACTTTGGAGTAAGAAGATTTACAAAATTTTAGATGATCCATAAAAGCTTAGGCTTCTAGGCTTCGCTTTTACGCTTCCACTTCTACTCATTATTTCGCTTCTATATGAAAGCTATAGTTTGACTGCATTGAGAGTCACTAATGCTAAAGTGGACAGGGGCGGAGGCAGAAGTAAAAATTAGGGGTGCCCTTTTTTCCGAAATAAATTATTTCGATTGGAGATTTCACTTATATTGTACTAATTTAAATTATGACAATCAAATAATAATAAGTGAACTTTAGTATAGTGACAAAATACATTTACGTCGCTTGAAATAGGCGAGTTCAATCCTTTCCATATGCATACATAGGGATTTATAATCGTTTTACCAAAACTTACTGGTGTCCCATGACAGAGCCAAACCCTCTGCTCCGCCACTGAAAGTGGAGAATCGTGCTTCCAATGGTAAGAGACGACATATTCGTCGCAAGTAGAGTACTCTAACATACCGTTTGGTATAAATGAATTTCATAAATTTTGAGGAATTCATTTTAAAATGAAATATTTTTGTATTTGGTATTTAAAAGAATTCATTCTCAATTCGAAATTTTGAATTATGCGGAATTGGAACTAGTTATAGCAATTCCGAGGAATTGAGATGGAATTTGCAAATGAATTCCACAAGTATTTACTAATTATAATAGAATGACATAATTATCCTCATTTATTAACTAAATTATTTCTACATATATTATATGGCGTCGATTGATGTAGTATGAGGAATGTCACCAAGATTTTGATTGCAATGCTTGTGATATATGTTGGTTATTTTATATTTATGCTTCAATTGTATCAATATGTTAAGAAGGCATAACTAGATTGTATGGTTCATCGACGAGATATTAGAAAAGAACTAATGAATATAATAGAAACACACAAGAACACTTTTGATATTCAACGTATGGTACCAAAGATGTTTTTTAGAACATGAATTTTCAATGAATATTGTTTTATCCGGAAATTAGTAAGGGTGTAGTTGGAGAAACTTGTAATTCAATTCAATTCAATTTTAAACATATGAACAAACATGTTTTGGGAATTCAATTTATTTATTTCAAGATTTACATATGACATACCAAACACAGCAATTCATTTAACAATGAATTCAACACAGTAATTCATTTTAAAATGAAATGAATTCTCGATTCATTTGGTACCAAACGGTTTGTAAGAGATATATGTAAAGTGGGTTCAGTTGATTTGGGGAAAAACGAAGATTGTCGATTGTGAAAAGGAAAATGTAGAAGAAGACCGAGTATTAGATCAGGCCCAAGAAAATTAAATAAAAAGAAAGAAAAAAACCGAGGATGATGGCTGGGTGACTAAGAATGGGCTTTAAGCCCAATCTTCTTTCTTTCGCTTGAGGAAAGAGCAGCCTCAACCCAGCAGCATATCAACCGTACGGTGGCAAGTGGGTTCGGGTCTTTGAGGATGCCTGGTTACCTACTTCTCCGCCTTCTATTCCTTCACGTCGTCCCGGCGCTCCCCTTTCTTCCCCATTTGTTGCAGCCAGGGAGTCGGACTTGGAATATGGCGGCCCTTCGTTTATTCTTCTCGGCTGAAACAAGTAAGATCATCTCCTCTATTCCCTTGCCAAAGGAACCTGTTCCTGATGAATTAATTTGGCATTTTGATCCTTCGGGGACTTTCCAAGTTCGTTCAGCTTATCATCTTGCCTTTCAATTACAACGTTCTGAGATTGGTCGTCCTAGAGTAAATCAGGTTGATCGTGAGCTTTGCTTATGGTTATGGACTTTAAAATTACCTCAGAAACTAATCTTCTTTGTTTGGCAATGTTTGAATCGTATCCTATCGACAAGAGAGGCTTTATTTCAGCGAGGAATGAACATCCTTCCGTTCTGCCTGGTTTGTGGTCGTAAGGTTGAAAGTTTAGAGCATATGTTCTTCACCTGTCCTTTTGCTCGCCGGCTTTGGAACTTGGTGGGTTTACGGTCTGAGTATCAATCATGTGATAAGAGGTTGTTCGCAGGGTTCTTTTGGGCGGTTCTTTTTGACCGGCGCAATGCAGAACGCAATTCTTACTTTACTTTGCAGGTGATTGCTATGTTATGGAGAATTTGGAAAAACCGGTGTTGTGTTCTCTTTGAGAACCAAAAGGCTCCTTTGGTGACGAGGGCTGCGGAGTGGCACCATCAAGTGAATGAAATTGAGACGGCATTCTCCATTACTCCAATCCAGCAGCACGTTGGTTTTTCAGCCCCAGCTCCTCGGAAGCATTTATCGCCTCGTTTTCATGCTTGCTTTGATGGTGCAACTGGGCGTGGTTGATTCCGGGGCTGCTTCTTTTGCAATTTGTGAAGGTTCTTTTGATGATGTGAATGCAGCTCCGTTAGCTGCAACGAGTACAAATTATCCAGGGATTGCGGATGCTCATGTCTTGAAAACTTTGGCACTAAGAGATTGCATAAGGGAGTGTGCTCGTAGGCATTTGACTCCTCTGCTAATTACGGCTGATGCTAAAGTGATCATGGACAAGTGCTTGGTTGGGGATGTCAAGAATTCAAAGGTGGGTTCTATTTTGCGTGAGATTAGATCTTTACTGGCTGGTTTCAGTGGAAATTGTGAGCTGCGATTTGTAGGTCGTCATAGAAACAGGGTGGCTCATTTAGTGGCCAAAAAGTCCCTGAGTTTGTCGCCTCGGGTCCTGTCGAGGTTCGACTATGTGTCTTGGTTACGGAGTTTGTAATTGATGTTGTATGGATCTTATCTTCCTCTCCCCGGAGATGGTTTGAATGGCAAAAAAAAAAAAAAAAAAAACGTAGGAAGAAACCGAGATTCTGGAAAACATAGTAAGAACACAACAGAAAGAAAAGTGCATAAATCTAAAGAACACGAGGCGTTTTTAACGTGGTTCAACGTGGTTCGCCCAATTATAATGGTTTACTTCCACGTCACATAATACAGTCTAGGAGACACTTTGTTTAATTTTCAGTTTTGACACAAAGAACACAAGTACAAAAGACAAGAAGAAAATATGAGCAAAGATTAAACACCTGAATCCCAGATTCGTAAAACCCAGCTTAGAGAACCTCTACCTTTTCTAAGCCTGAACCCTTTTGTAAACTAGTCCTATACCGCCCCACTTACTAATTAAAGTACCAACAGAAAAGGGATGGAGACCATATATATAGCTATGAAACTGGTGGCAAATTTAGGAATTTTACATAGGGGTGTCCTCTCCCAAAAATTTATTTAAATAAATAATTATTAAATATGAAAATATCTAAATAATTAAAGTTACATTAAAAAGTTCATACGTGTTTCGTAAAATGGTAAAATACATCCGGTGTCTATACTGTTCAACAAATATCTCTCGACATATCCTATTAGACAAGGGTATCCGGTAATTGGGTTCATTGCTAAGTTTTGAAAAATAAGATTAACATTTTACTATTATATTTGGATCTAAAACACAATGACAAATGAGTTGTAGTGTAATTGAAAATAGGTTTACCAATAAAGGCAGCGTCCCAAATTTAAATCACATAGACTATTACTTAAATACTATTTGTACCAATACGCAAACTACTACGGGAGGTCGGATAAGCATTTTCTCAAATTTTAAGGATGCCCACTACCATTTAAACATTTTTGTGCTTATACGCAAATTACTATCGATGGTTGAATAATCGTGTTTCCAAATTTTAGGGGTGTTTTGCATGTATCCGCCCCTTATGAAACTTGGCAGCCGATGAGCTTTTTAATCTCCTTCAGAACTAGCTGTTGGGGCCTATTTTGCTGGCAGAATTCTTTCCATAAGTGAAAATCGCCAACGTCTCTAATTTGGGAACGGCTACGGTGCTAATTGTACAATAGTTAGCACCGTCCTAACCAAGGAAAAACTACTACTAGTTTGAATTAGTAGTGATTTAGCTTAGATGTTGTATTAATTTTATAATAATCCGTAGTGATTTCGTTATTTTTAGTAGCGTTTTTTGCTAGTTATCACGGTGCTAACCCCTATAAGGGTTAGCACCTAATCCCATCCCCTCTAATTTCCTTCCTACAAATTCCTGAAAATAGTAGTAGCGAGGTGGATCATGTAAGATCAGAAAATAATCTAGTTGGTTCATTGATGAAAGGACTAGGTAGAGAGAAAGTCCAAAATATCACCAAAGGTATGAGACGTATTCCTATAAAACGAGGAGTTACACGCGATGGTAACCCGATCCAATAGACTAGAGATTCCAAGAAACGAGTTCAATGGGTAATAGCAAGTCGGGTATAATATGAGATAAATCATGCATAGTGAAATATGATCTTCCCGAAGCTTAAGGTTGAGGTAGTAGTATGAAACGATAGAGTGAAGTACATTGATTTGTGAGTACATCTGATAGACTAGCCTATTTGAATGTGAGAGGGGGCCGCTTCCTATGGAGTTTGGGGAGGTATCAAATTGCTAGAGACCGTTCACTAAACCGGGGTAACGTGCAGTGCCATAAACACATGGACTATTATTAGAGAATAAAACATAATGAAAAGATCAGGTATGCTACATAGTCTGAGATAGAGTTCAAAACCACGGTTCACTCTTGTTGAATCGAAAGTGTAACCACTACGCTAAGGTTCAAATTAAAAGATACCGTAGTTTATACCTGATCTTATGCGACTATTGATGCTCGGAGATAGTTTGAAAACTATATATTCAAGTGAGGGATGGTTGGAAATGTGAATAGTTTTGAAGCTATATGTCTCAAGGAAATAACACAAATGACAGTAGGATAATCATTTTTTCAAATTTCAGGGGTGTCCCTCACTATCAATTATATATTTTTTTGTCTATACGTAAATTACTACCGGGGGTTGGATAATCGTTTTCCCAAAATTTAGGGGTGTCCCGAGACACTTCTAAAACCCCCTGGGTACGCCCCTGAATGGGGTGAACGACTTTTGTAAGAGAGCGAGGACCTAATAGACCACCACACACACGCCAACGTTGTTGATACGTCCGACCGGTCTGTTGAGCGAGTTGTTGGCTTGGCTTGGCCGGCTTGAGACTAATATGTTTTGGAAAAATTCTAAAGTTAATTATATTATTCAGTATCCTTAACATATATGTTAAGAATGTTAAGAATGATAACTAATAAAGAAAAGAATATTGGAGAAATAATTTATCGGACATGTTTTAAATAAATGGGTATTTATCTTCCTAATAAAATGTTACTTATTTTTCATGAAATAGGAATATTCAAGGGTATCGACTCCTATAAATAGCTAACCCCTCAGTCCCTCTATACAGGGGCGGATACATGGGTCTTTAGGGGTGAACCGGGACACCCCTAAAATTTGGGAAAACAATTATCCAACACTCGGTAATAATTTAGTATGGATAAAAAAATTATAATTGGTAATCCGGGACACCCTTAAATTTTGAAAAATGATTATCCTGTCATCGGTCATAGTTTGCGTATGATTAAAAATATATAAGTAGTACTCTGTGTTATTCAAACCTAGGACACTACTATTATTAAACATATTCTCTAGGTTGCAACTCATTTGTTGTTTTATTTTAAACAATATGTTATAGTAATAACACTAGTCTTTATTCCCAATTATTTTCAAAACCTAACAATCAAACTCATTCGAGCTATCCTTAATTTGAATTGATTTTATAGGTATAGTGCAAGAGTTGAAAGAGTCTTTCAAGTTTGAGTTACATCAGGAACAATGTTAGAAATTGAATATGCGATTAGTTCGAGAATTATTGTCTAATATGGTATATTTGCACTAATCAGATATTTTTTTATGAATTATTTAATTTAATTTTTAATTAAATTTAATTTTTGGAAGAGGACACCCCTATAAAAATTTTCTGAATCCGCCACTGCCTCTATATACACACCAAATCGAAGAGCAGAAATATGTGAGAGAGTGAGATTCCGAGAGCTCCGATCTTTACACAAAACCGTCAAGCTAATGAGTGGTTGTTTTATCATGGAGGCAACCAGCTGATAATATGATGTGCGGAACAAGACAGTGCCGCAAACATATTAAAGAGAGCGATCTAGTCTATGACTGAATCCGATTAAAACCCTAGTTTCTCTTTGTTTGCTTGCTAACATCTTCAAGCAGCAATCTGAAAACCGAGCTTCATTTAAGACCTGCAGTCTTATATCCGGGCATGAGTTGAACCGATTGTCTGAGTACACGTAGGGTTAGGGAAACCGACGCGGATAGGTGGGCTTTTAGGGGTTGGGTCATTAGTGTCGGTTAGGTGGGTCATTAGTTGATTGTTAGTTTTATTAGAAGTCCATTTGGGAGGAGGTCTCTAGGAGGCCGAGTCGGCTAGGGCTAGGGTTTCGGTTAGTAGTCTAAATATATTGTAAGTTCGGCATTAGTCCGGTCAGGGGCGGACCTAGGGGGTTAAACGGGTGTCCCCGGACATCCCTAAATTTTGGGAATACGATTATCCAACCCCCGGTGGTAATTTACGCATGGACATATTTTTTTTTATAATTGATAGTGAGGGACACCGTTGAAATTTGAAAACATGATTATCCTACTGTCATTTGTGTATAGAAATATAAGTGGTAGATTGGGTAATTCAAATCTAGAACACTATTCTTATTAATAAACTTAATTTTCGTTGACCTAAAACTCATTTGTTGTTCGATTTTAAAAAATGTAATAGTAAAATGTCATTTCCTATGTCTAATTATTTTAAAAACCTAACAATTAAACTAATTTCAAGCTACCCTTAATACGACAAGTGTTGAAAGAGTCTTTCAACTTTGGGTTACATCGAGAACAAGTTTACAAATCGAATATGCGATAAGTTCGTGAATGATTGTTTAGTAGGGTATATAGAGACAATTTTTTTAACACTATAGACACCAAGTGTATTCTACAATTATTTCCGAATATGAAACTTTTTTAACTTGTATAAGTAAGGTATTTTCAAATTTACGATTTTATTTTTATTAATTATTTTTATTTAATCTATTTTTAAAAGAGGACACCCCTATAGAAATTTCTGGGTCCGCCACTGAGTCCGGTTATCAAATAATAAAACTAAAGGTTTATCGACGCCCAAAGTCGTTCTCTCGTTCATGAGTTACGAGCAAATCCTTGGAACGTGGGTTACGTTTCCATCATTGTCGGCTTCCTTCAGTGATATTCTTAAGCGATCTTTATAAATGGCGGTTCTGGTCGATCACATGCTGGACAAAGGAAACATATATATGTATATTGAAATGCTTCGTGTTTCATGGCCTTTCTGCTGCTAGCATGCTACTCATATTGGTGATCGATGATTGATCAAACATGGACGGCAAAAAGCTTGTCGATCTGCAGTCCCACGGACCGACCAGCTTAAGCATGCATTTTGGTGACTCTGATTGATATTCTTTGTACGCCGTAAATATGGCCCTATATACTGCTAATTAATTAATTTAGGCACCACCACCGTCATCTGTATATATAACTGCCTTCAAGCTGCGGTGAAATGGTTCCTAAATTCATTGCATTGTAACAAGCAATCATCTGATATGATGAGTGAACATGCATGTGTTTGATTCCATATATTAAAAAAAAGACAGTATCCTCTTTTATAATTAATCCTGAAATTTTAAATCTATCCAATTCCAACCCTAGCGCTAATAAGACAACAAATTAGATGGTTCATTGTTTATCCTGCCATTGTCTCCCAAGTTCCAAGGACACCGAATTGTACTGACCACCTTCTACGTACCCTGATTAGAAAGGTTGACAACCAATTATCTTTCTGCACGATGCTAGATTCGCGGCGAGTTTTCAACG